CCACTCTAGCCTGTCATGTCTTGGGTGCATGTCCCTGGGCAAGTGACTTAACCTTCCTGAGGCTCAGCCTGCTCATCTGTAAAATGGGGATAATGAGGCTGCCATGCGAGGTATTGAGCGGGTGGACCAGGGGGTTGGTGATTGCAGTGCAGAGAGAAATGAAGTCCTGTATTTTTAATTTTCTGATAATAAAAGTAAACCATATTCTTTGCAGAATATCGGGAGAAGTATAAAAAGGGGGGGTGGGAATCACCTGATATCTCACTGCACAGAGATAATAGCTCTGCAACGAGTTTGTTGTAATGTTCTCACGTTACTTTTTATGTGTTTATATTGTATGTGATTCCGAGGGTTTTTATAAAGATTGCGTGAGATAAGGTTTTTTCCCAAACATTTAGTAGCACGCCTGCCCACGTGAGAAATAGAAATAAATACGTTCATTTATTAATTATTCACAAATACTTATTAAGTTTGTGCTACGTGTCAGACTGGGAATATTTGTGTGTGAATCTGTAAATACACATGAGAACACACATTCACACGTATACGTATTTATGTATTTACATTTCTATATACTACATGTATTCTTTATATAAACGTACAATTATACACAGTTACACAGCATATGCAGGTGCGTATAATTTTTTCTTAACACCAGGCTCTGTAACATGAAGTTTCTGTTTGTCATTAGCACATCAGAAAAGAATAACAAGGTGAATTTTCATCAGGTTTTGAGGATGTTTTGAGATAGTCTGATCTATAATATAAATTAGGTGAAATTAACTTTGGGAGGCCTTGCGGGACACCTCCAGAGCTTAGAGAGGCAACCTCCAGAGGCGCAGAAAGTGACGTAGGAGAGTCCTGTGCATCTGCAGGCAGGAGAGGGTCCTCTGCAGATTGAGATGCCCGGGGCAGGGATCCCGGACCACAGTTTCAAAGATTAGCCTCTAATGGGACATCACAAGGGAGATGATTTTAATTGCAGCCACTGATTATCACACAAACTGCTCCCAACACGGGCAACTCCACACAGCACGTTCCGGGGGAGCAGCTTGGGAGTTTAACGAGGGTTGATGACTCTCTCATGTGATGCAGGGGAGGCTGGCGCGTACACATACGTCGTAGTCTTGTGTTGATCTCTGTGTGCGTGGTGTGTATTATGTGTGCCTTAGTGTGTATCCCTCCTTCATTCAGCTCTTACAGTCGTGCGGTAACGCCATTCACTCAGTCCCAAGACATATTGAGTGCCTGCTCTGTTCTAGATGACAGCAATACAGAAAGATCAGGGCTCATGGAAGTTAGGATTTTATCTGCACTGCCTGTGCCTAGATCAGTGCTGCTGGCACGTAGTTCATGCTCAGTAGATGCTTATTGAATGAATGGTATGACAGTGTGTGTGTGTGTGTGTGTGTGTGTGTGTATATAATGAATATATAATAATCTACGTTAGCATGTTGTGTGTCTGTTACAATGTATATCACTACATTGTAGCTGTGGAGTAATATGGACATATGGTATGTTTATTAGTAGGTTTCTATTGTACACATCTTACTGTCTAAATACTTTTGTTCCCTAATTTCCCCCCCACAACTTCTTCCTGCTCCAAGCCCGCAAAGAGAGTAAAACAGAGAAGACCGAGCTCGTACTTGGCCTCAAAACACAATCCCATTTGCGTAGCAGTCCTGACCCGATCCTGAGCGCTGCTGCTCATGGAGGTGGAAGAAGGCCCCAGAGGGGGCCTCCCCTGTGCCCCCTTCTCCTGGTGCACCACCCTCCCCTCCATGTCTCTCGAGCCGTCTCTGGCTTGGGCCTTGTTTTGTCTGCCCCCAGGAGACAGTGTGGGCACCGCATCCATTTCGCCCGATGACTTGGCCTCGGCAGTCAGCAGACTAGTTGTGGCACCGCATCCATTTTGCCCGATGACTTGGCCTCGGCAGTCAGCAGACTAGTTGTGGCACCGCATCCATTTCGCCCGATGACTTGGCCTCGGCAGTCAGCAGACTAGTTGGTTTTCAAGTTGAAACAGGAGAGGTTCGCTGATTACAGACTCTGAATTTCCCACATCCGTCTCCCTGGGAGGTTCCTGCTGAGCCTGAGGCGTGACCCCAGGCAGGTGGGGGTGGGGCGCGGAGGGCAAGGGGCACAGTGGAGGGAGGCAGTAGCGGCAGGTCCCCGGCACCACAGGCCTCACCTGTCTGTTGATGGTTTTCTTGCTCTCAGCTGTCCTCGCCCTGTCTAGCTAACTCATCCTCTAAGCTGCCCTTGCTTTCCACCCCCGTCTTTCCTCTGCAGATGGTGAGAAAGCTTTCAGAGCCCTGCATGCCAGCCTCCTTATTCTCTGCGTGACCTTGGCAAACCGCCCCCCCCCGTGACGTGGGGACACCCACACAATTGCTCGTCGTTCTCTGAGCGTTAAGACGTAGCGATGCCACCACTGGCCAAGCCTTTCCTCTCTGCCAAGCTCATTCGATCCTCACAGCAGCCCTGGGAAGGGGACTACGGCTGCCCCCATTTTACCCGTGGGGGTCAGAGAGGTTGAATAACTTGCTGAAAGTCACACAGCCAGTGAGTGGTAGAGCTGGGATTCGAACCCAGGCATCCTGGCTCCAGAGCCTACTTTCACTTTCATGATATTATGGATCTGATGCATCTCAGGTCCCTATTTCCTCTGCTCACCTGCTTGGTCCTGGCTCAGAGCCACCTGTCCCTGAGACCCAGCATCCTTCCCTTCCCTGTCCTCTGTCCGCCAGGAGGCTTCTCGCGGATCGAGACTGTAAGACCTCGTTGCTCCCTCCGTGTGACGTTGACGTGGGCCAAGGTCACCCAGGCACAACCAGGAGGGGACATCTGGGCTCTTCTCTCTCAGCTCGTGTGGCCTAAGGGCCTCACCTGAGAACCCAAGACTTGGCTGCCTAGTTTTGTGGTCTCCCAGCTGCATGACCTTGGGTGGGTCTTTTTGCTGTTCTGGTGAGAGATGAGTTTCCTCATCTCTAAAAGAAACGTTCACCACGTGCCTGGAATGTCCCAGACATGGACATGGGTAGCATCTCCATGTCTCACAGATACACAGGTGCCTCGTCCCCTCTCCTCCCAGGGACGCTGTCATCCCGGCCCACTAGCAAGAAGCAGCGCTCGGGCGACGCTCCTGTAATCTCCTGGGATCGTGTGCCCAGCCATTTTCCTAGGTGTCTTTATGAGCTGACAAGCTCGCCTCCTGGGCGAATACCCCCCTCGCCGTCCCACGGTGTGTTATTTCCTCTGACAGTCCACCGACCTCCTGCCTGGGGCCCTGCCTCAGACCATTTCTCACCTTGTCAGCACCAAGATGGGGATTTCACAGCGGGCTGTTTCAACCCAGGGCACCTCTCCCCCACCTCTCCACGTCGCCCCCTCCCTCGTCAGCTGGGCTTGCTTCTTTGGCTTTCTTGGTCTTTGCTCGCTCGCTCTCTCTCTCAAATTGGAGAAGACTCAAAAGTCAGTGTGAAGGCAATACCGTGAATGGACAAGCTGGTCTGCTATACAATACCGTGAATGGACAAGCTGGTCTGCTATGCGGAGCTGAGCGCGCCCCTGTGACGGGGAGCAGCCCTGGTCCCCGCTGGCTTTCACTGGGGCAGGCAAACAGAGCCCCAGAAAGATCACTGGCCTGGGAGTGGGGCAGACCGGGGTTCCCCTCCTTGCAGCCTTGAGTGACTTCAGTGGCCTCGATTTCCTCATCTACAAAATAAAGAAAAACAATCCCAGGCTCAGAGAGGGACTGTGAACCGTTTCCGGTCCCACAGCTAGTGGGTTGCGTGGGGAGCTGGGAATTGTACTTATATTGACCCTCAATTCTTAGTTTTCACCCCTTCACGCTCTCATCAGTTGGTATATACATGTTTCTTAAAAGACAGCAGTCAAAAAAGAAACTTGACATAATTAGAGCAGCTCAAAAGAAAAATCCTATCCATAACCCCTCTTTGCTCCCATCCATAAATATTCTCAACTCTCCAAGTGTTTTCCCAGCTGCATGTGTGCTATGCGCACGTAGACTTGGGCACGATATTCTCTGTCCTCTTCTGCTTGCTTAATGGTATTTCACAGAAGGCGTTCCATACTGCCACCATCCTTATTTCTAATGTTGACGTCTGCCTAATAGCATCAAAGTGACGCGCTGTGATTTCCGTAACCAGTCCCAGTTGCCAGGTGACAAGGCGGCTCTCAGCCTCTCGTGTCATCAGTAGCACAGCCCCAGGCATCCCTGGTTACAGAGCCTTGCTCTGTGTTTTAGTTTACACCCCATGGGATTAATTCCCAGAAGGTGGGTTTCTGGGTTTAACCCAGGGTTTCTCAGGCTGGACACTGTTGACATTTGTGTGAAGTAATCCTTCATGGTGGAGGTTGCCTTGTGCGTTGTAAGATGCTGGGCAGCGCCCTTGGCCTCTACTCTGCTAGATGCCGTCAGACTCCCAAGTGTGACAACCAGAAACGCCTCTGGACGTCGCCTGATGTCCCCTGGAGGGCAAACTCACCCTCAGTTGACAGTCATTGTGTTAAAGGGGAGGAGCGTGGGAATAACGTTACAAATGAAAGTCAGAGATTTTCCAGGGAGTCTGGACAAAAATCCAGTCAGGGCAGAAAGTAACGGGATGAGCATGGAGAGTCAGATGCACCAAGCTTGGGTTCCAGCTCGTGTTCCAGTTCGAGCTTGCGGTCCCCCAGGCCTCATTTCCTCATCTGTGAAATGGGATCAGTAATAAAGAGCCACGTGCCAGACTTGTGAGGAGTGAGTGAGGCCAGGAGCGTGAAACGCTGAGCACAATGCTGGGCGTGGAAAGGTCTCAGTGAGTGCCAGCGGTGCTGGCCGGCTCCGCGGGGAGCCCCACTGGGGTTTCCATCTTTGCCTTTTGCTGCCTTTGAGGATGGAACGTTGGGGGGGGTCTAGGTGACAGAGCTGTGAGGGACCCGTTCTTGTTCTGCCGTCCCCCCAATCTCCCGCTCCACATCCATCCCTGGGACAGAGACTCCGCTTCCAGAACCAGCCTCCGCAACTCTCCTGGGAAACATACATTGACTCATCCATCGACCCATCTATCCAGGGTGTCCATTTGGGGCCGGCACCCCCCGTGTGGGTGAGTGAGCTCTGTGCGGGGCCGTGCCCTGGAGCCCCCAGGCATCCACTTCCTCCTCTGTAAAATCCAGAGCATCTGAGGGTCCACGAGCCTGTCCATAGAGAGAGCCCCTTGTGGGCACGCGCCACGTCACAGGGTCCCAGTGAGCGCCAGGCCCCTCCCCAGAGCTCTCGTAGGCGGGTGGGGGTCTCGCCCAAGGCCAGCGTGTGCTGTGGCCTCTGTCTCCAGGAGAAGTACGTGGAGGAGCTCGCCGCAGTGAGACAGACCCTCCAGACAGACCTGGAGACGTCCATCCAGCGGATCGCCGACCTGCAGGCAGCCTTGGAAGAGGTGGTATCCAGCGACAGCGACACGGAGAGGTAAGCTACCAGGAGGCGGCTGGGGCTGGGCGTGGCAGGTGGGCTGCACCCTGGGGAGCTCTGCAGCCTCCGGTGGGCAGTGCTGCCCCTCTCAGGTCTGGGGGTCCGGGGACTCAGGCGCGCCGGGGCGTGGGAGGAATAACTGGCCGCCTCAGGCGAGCAGAGGCAGGATGCTTCTCCGCTGGTGGTGACGTCTCCGTGTTACCGCCAAACGCCTAGAGCCTGGTTTGCCGAGCCTTTGGGGAGACGGTCTGGAGGAATGGCTGCAAAGTGTCCTCCAGTGTGTGATCTCGGGCAGGTCACACATCCAGTCTGGGCCTAATTCTCTCATCTGTAAAGTGGACATAGCACTACCGGGCAAACCACGTGAAATGGCCAAGAGTTGACCCCTTTTGACCTACAGAGGGGACGTTCCGTATACTCCACTCACTCCCCGCCTTGTCGCTTGTGAGTGGGGTTGGAGTGAGTCACTAGGTGACCAGCGTCGGGGCGTGTAAGTGCTGCAGGAGTGTGGCCGTGTCTGCACAGGGTAATGAGTGTAATTTCACAGAGGCAGCAGCTGGTCAAGGGTGCAAGGTTAGAGCGCTGGCCCTCAGCTTCAATGTCAGGGCTTCTCTCCTCCCTCAGAAGACAGATAGGCCACCTCCCGCTGCCTCCAGCCAAGTCTCAGGCTGCACAGGCCACGAGTGGGCTGCCCCGCTGGGAGTGGTTGGAGGTGTCCCGGCGGGCACACAGTCCTGGCTGTCACCCTGCGGATGGCCCGTGGCGTCCTGTCGCCCTGAGCTCCCTCTGTAGCCTTGACACGTTATGTCTCTGGAAATCATAGCTGCCCATCTTGCTGTGGCGTGTCCACCTCCATCTCAGCCTCTGCAGCAAAGCCTGGGCGACAGGGAGAGACGTTTTCTTTGTGCAGACAACGAGACGGTGAGGGGCGGGATGCCCTGAGTTACCCGTCAGGTGTGGTTCCTCCTGGGACCAGCCAGCCACCTCTTACTGGGGTGTGGGCAGGGCCAGCTGCCGACTGGCAGGAGGTGTGGGTGAGCCGGGCAGCAGGGGAGGAGAGAGAGTTGTGTGTGGGCTGTGGTCCAGCCCGTGGGAAGAACCAGGCATCTGTGTTAGAGCTGACCACGCCCAGTCCAGAAAAAAGACTGGAAGGAAACACACCAACGTTCTAATACATTGGGAAGGCATTACTGGTGACCTAAATTTTTATTTTTTTCAGGCTTATGTAGATTTTCTCAAATTTCTGCAACGAGCATGCACACACGTCCCTAGCTGTACTAGCGTCCTCTTTGGGAGATTTCGCTCGTATGAGTCATGTACTTTATACCCCAATAGGAGGCCGTGAGCACATTCTCTCCTTGATGCAGTCCTGGGCTGGTGACAGCTGCTCGGCAGCGTGTAGCCTCTGACTTTCCCATGAAGATGTTCATTCTCAGCATCAGTGTGACAGAGACCCAGTGGACTTGCCATGTTCTAGCCTCTAAATCAAGGGCTTTATCTCAAACGTCCTCAGTTTGTGCAAAAATGGCTCCCACGCAGACATTGTAAGGATTTCTCCCACGCCCTGCAAGTTTCCACAGCTGCCAAATTGCTGGTGAAACGGCTAATACTGACGCTGCAGCCGCTTCCAGCTCAGGGTCACGTTCAAGAACCCCCTCCGCCTCCCCTCCTCCAGTTTTATTAGTGTCATAACAGAACTAACATCTGTAATTACAAACCCCTGGCGTCAGTATTACCCGCTCGATGCTTGGCTGGCCTCTCCATTAATAGAAATGCTAGGACTTTTGCATTAATCATAATGGGAATTAATGGCTGTATATACTAGTATTTTGTGTTCTTTTGTGTGTGTGTGAATGAGCAAAACTTTTAAACCATTTTTACTTGCATAGCAATAGATTGCTTTTCTAATAAACAATAAAAGTTCTAAAAATAACAAGATTGGAAAGAGGCAGAGAGTCCGGGCTTGGAGGTGCAGGGACACGCTGGACAGAAGGTGTGACAAAGAACAAGGAGCAGGTTCTCACCTGGCGCATGAGGTCCTGGCAGTGAGGCCACAGGTGGTTACAGACATCACTCTGGTCTCTGTTTATAGGGGATCCCCTCAGGCCTTAAAGGGACCCTGCCTGCACCCTCCTTCTAATAGGAGATATTTTTATCTGTCTTTGCTCCAGGTGACAAGCCTCGTGCTCACCCCCTGGTTCCCATCCAGCTTTTCTGAGCTCTAGTCCCTGGGCCCCCAGGGATCCAATCTGAACCCTAGCTTTCTGTTTGCATTTTCATGATCTTTTGTCTCTGGGGCTTTACATCTTCGTCTCGGCTGGACGTCTGGTGCCTTTTCCTCGTCCAAATCTCCAGCGTCTGCCCAGTACCTGACTCACACTTCCCGACACTGGAGGGGCCCTCACCTGCGTCTCAGGGTTGTGCGAGGGGTGAAATGATCATAGAACCCCAGGTGTGAAGAAATGCATCTTGTACCTGGAAGAGCCCAGGCGATGCATGGGGTTCTTGCAACTGGAAGTGGAGGCAGCTTGGGGAGGGCGCAGGCGCTGCGTTTCAACCAGCCTGATTTCCAGTCAGGGATCCAGCGGTTATGTCTGCATGACCTTCTGTGAGTTATTCAACCTCTCTGAGCGTCAGTCTCTTCATTTGTAAGACGGGTTGATAATAAGAAGTAAGTGAAAAAATCCAACACAGGTTTAGTACCTTTTATCTGGCAGGGGCTCAGCCGTCATTAGTTCCATTCATTCATTCATGGGACTGATTCTGCCTGTTCCACACCAGACACTGTGCCGAGTGTCTGTCTTATTCCACTTGCTTCTTGTTATCATGTTTCTCCATCTTAGAGATACAGGGAGATTGAGTAACTTGCCCGAGGTCAGGCGGAAGTTAAATTCCTGAGGGAGTAGTGAGGGAGGAGAGCACAGGAATGGTCTCTGCCTTCGTGGACCCACATTGTGATGGGCGAGCGTGTGTGTGTGTGTGTGTGCGCGTGTGTGTGTGTGCCCCCGCCCATGAATACAGTGGACAGACTGACGAATAAAATGCTGGGATACAGTAGGAATTACGAAGACAGAGAACGCAGAGCTCTGATGAATAACACGGGAGGTAGACATGGCCTCTCTGAGAGGAAGAACTGAACTGAAACCTGGATTAAAAGAAGGAGCCAGGGCTTCCCTAGTGGCGCAGTGGTTGAGAGTCCGCCTGCCGATGCAGGGGACACGGGTTCATGCCCCGGTCCGGGAAGATCCCACATGCCGCGGAGCGGCTGGGCCCGTGATCCATGGCCGCTGAGCCTGCGCGTCCGGAGCCTGTGCTCCGCAACGGGAGAGGCCACAACAGTGAGAGGCCCGCGTACCGCAAAAAAAAAAAAGAAGGAGCCAAATGCGGGAGCTCTGGAGAAAAGTGAGTCAGGGCAAATGAGGAATGTTCTAGGAAGTGAGGGTTGACCAGTGTGCCCGAGTGAGATCAGTGGGAAAGAAAGGCTCTCTTCCTCTTGCTACTTCCCTCTCTCCCACCTGTCTTCCCCTTTCGAAGTGGCCCGTGGAAGCCCACCGTGTCCCCGTGAAGCGCCCCAGAACCCCGGGCAGGATTGACGGGCACAATCTGTGGGTCCACCGTGGAATGAGAACGTGGGGCTTCTTGTTCAGAATCGGTTCGGAATTCCAAGGCAGTCACAGCAGAGTGTCACACCAAGCACAGGCCCCTCTGGGCATGGGCTGTAAGCCTGTGAAGCCAGCCCTGAGCCCAGGGTGGTTTTCGGAAAGCGTCTCCTAATGCTCAGTAGGCCTTGGTCCTGACTCGCTGTCTTGTAACTTAGATTTGAAACTTCCACAGAGCGTGGGTTTCAATAATAGCATAGGAGTGGGGGGAAACTGGGAAAAAGTGGCCACAGAGAAGCCTCAGCACTTCTCAAGTCTCAATTTCAGAGGATTAGTGTCGTGCAAACCATGCTGTCTGGCCGCAGCGCAGCTAAGTTGGTTATCAACAATACAAAGAAATACAGTGCGCCACTGGGTTCTAGAGCCGCGGGCAGAGCAGAGCCCCAGTTCCTGCCCCAGGGCCAGCCTGAGCTCCTGCCCATCCTGACAGCTCAGCCCTGCACTCCCCTCTTAATTGCCTCATCGCCTGGGTAAAGAGGGTTGGATTGGAGCCTGAGGGATTGGGCCGAGGTCTGTCTCCAAACTGAGCTCTCAATTAGGATTCAAACCCACCCTGGGAGAGAGAGAGCGAGCGGTGCTTCAGCTGGAGGTGAGTTTCTTTGGGAGACTTGTTCAAATTATGAAAAGTCGCATTTCCCCATGTTGGGTATTAGATCCGAGTGTAACGGGCCTTCCAGGCTGGAAACGTGGCTACGTGCTCAGAAAGCCAGGTGGCCAGTGCGGCAGCATTTAAACACGTACCCGCCTACACCGGGCCCCTGGTGGTGTAACTTAGACTGTGGCGTCAACCTCCTTAGATTAATGGAGAAATGCTTTAAGCTGTTCCCCCAGGCCTGGAGCCGGCTCATTACTCATGGAGGGAGGGGTGCATCAGCTGACAGCCCCATCTATTCCTGGCCCAGGGTCTGCAGCTGCTCTGTCATCACCCTGGCTGGGAGTTTGTGGGGGGCGGAGTGTGGAGAGGTCAGTGGATGACCCCTGACTCCTGGGTCAGCCAAGAGTATCTCCACGCCAGCTGGCCCCATCTGAGATGAAGGACCTGGAAAGGAGTCCTCTGTTGCTGTGTTGAGTGTAAGTTGTACATTTTCCAACATACATCCTTTTAACTTGGCTGAAACAAGGCTGCAGCGGGACAAGTAGAAAGACCTGGGTCTAACCAAAGATTGCCGCTGCCACTGAGGGCATAATTCTGAGTTAACTTACTCATCAGTGGGCCCAGGCTCTGGTCAGACTGTAACGGTCCCTGCTACGCAGTAGGACGGGCTCTGGGACTGCCCGCGTCTCTTTTCCCACAACTCTCTTACCTCCTAATTTTGCTTAGAAGGAAGAGCTTAAAGCACTTCTCCATTATTCTGAGACATCCAAGTTACATCACAGGGCCCTCATGCAGAATAGCACATTTAAATGATGCCACAGAGGACACCTGTCTTTCTAAGCATCTTTCTAGCTTGGAAGGCCTGGATACCCAGCTAGTGGGGTTCGTGGGGAATGAGGGCTCCAAACTGCTTTATCCACTCCGGCATTACAGGGCATCATGCTCATTGTGCTAATAGTCTTTCCTGAGCACTTACTTTGTGCCAGGCCATGCAGCCTACCTGTCTCACATACATAGTTCTCACAACAACTCTCTGAGGTTGGTAACCATTATCACCCCCGGTTTACAGAAGAGGAAACTGGAGCTTAGAGAGGTCAAGAAACTGGCCCCAGCTCACACAGCAAGTGATGGGGCCGGGATTTGATTTCCAGGTTGACCCCATCACACACACCTCCAGTGACTAAGCTCTGCTGTCATGTCAGACGTACTCCATCTTTCCCCTTTCTGTTGTCAAGGTCTTTGTTCTCTGCCAAGGAACTGGCCTGTCATTCTGGTGAACTTGTGTCTGTCACTGTGATGTGGTGCCAGTGCATTCATGTGTTACTTCCCAGGCAATGTTTGCATTCAGGCTGGAGTTGTCTAGCGAAGACTCCCCTGAAAGGAATACAACAGAAGACATTTAATTACTTCTCTTGCTCATCAGCAATCCCCCTGTCCACAAGTGCCTGGCCCAACTTCCTCTTGAAAAGTCACATGCACCAAGGCAAGAGAAAGAACCACTGACCACATGGCAGGAGATGAGGGGAAAACCAGGCACCACATATCATGTTCCAGTGCTGGCTGCACTGCCAAGGAGATCAGGACCATGGACAGGTCACCTGCCCTTCCTGGGCCTCTGCTTGCCCACCCAACAGATAAACAACATCATCACCATCATCACCATCATCACCATCATCGATGAGAACCTCCCATGTTAGGGCAGGAGGTATGGTCGCGAACAGGCAAACGTGGATCTGCCTCATGGAGCTTGAAGTCCAGAGACTCTTTCTTGTGGTGGAAGGGTCAGTGGGTTTTAAACTCCTTTAAGAAGAATCTCCTCTTTTACACCAAAGCAAACTCCTATAGAAAATTCTAGCTTAGGTTGAAGTACAGCCGTCCTCTGATCGGAGTGAGAGAGGACCTTTCCCCATGGGTGGACTCAGTGTTTGAATTTGCTCCCTTCTGAAAGGGCTCTTTCCCCCCAGACTAGAGACTCATTTACTTTGAGATGTCCAGTTGTGCCAGTTGAATTAACACCAGCCTGCACCTTGGTTAGTTGCATTGTGCTCTGCAGACAGTCCTGTGCCGGGTTCAGTTAAAGATCGAACCAATGAAGTGGGTGAGGAAGTATGCCCAGCTGCCCAGACCTTGTCTCCTACAGAGTTCAAGGCCAGTTGCCTTAGGATTATGGAGACATTAGCTTGCCCAGGCACCCACCAGGATCTCTGGGCGCACCCTCTTGTAATCAGGGTCATGGACTCCTGGGGTGGGAAATGGGCCTGAAGCCCCTCCCTCTCTATCATCATGACTCAAGTCCCACCCCCACTGCGGCCCGTGTTTGTCCTTCCTCCCTGTTTGCGGGCACGAGAAACCTTGTTCCAGGTACAACTCACCCTCTCTGTTTTTAAGGCGCATGCCACACAGTTTTGAACGCTACGGCTTGGGCCGCAAGACCCTTCAGTTCTTTTGTCTTTCTATGAGCGTTTCAGAAGATGTAGCCCTGTTCACGCAAACCCCTCCCTCCGCTTCCCAGGACCCTTGCCTACCACATTTTAGCTTCGTTGGTCAGCTGGAACCAGTGTCCTTAACTGGGGTCTGTGAACTAGTAGGTCGAGGGAGGGGGTGTCCACACACGAGTTCTAGAGATTATACTCTGAACCCTCAGATACTGCACTAAAATTTGGGTCTGTGTTTGTGCGTTTGGGGAAATGGAAGTTCCATGGTCTTCATAAAAGATGCTCATAGGGACTTCCCTGGTGGTCCAGTGAGTAGGACTCTGTGCACGCATGCCGCAGCTAACAGTCCACATGCCACAACTGAAAAGGAAGATCCCGCCTGCTGCAGCTAAGTCCTGGTGCAGCCTAAATAAGTAAATAAAAATAAATCTTTTTTAAAAATGCTCATAAAAGGCCCAGGACTCCTGCTCTAGGGGCCTAAGTGCATCCTCTCCATTGCACATAATTTTTAAGCATCCAAGCATCTTGGCTCAAACGCCTCATTTCACACGCCGGACACCCCAGACAGGGAAGAGAGGAGGCCAAGGCCACACAGAACACGAGGATTCAGTTGCCTTTCCTCCCAGCCTGGTGTTCCTTCTGCAGCCCCAGTGCATAGAGCCTTAGAAGAGACTCAGGCCACCAGCAGGAATAAAGCTAGTTCTACTCACACTGTCCACTTCAGTCAAAGTTTTTAAGTATTTTTAAATAGTTTGTTTAAAAGCCGAATCAGAAAAAATTTATATAGATCCTCAAGAAGATTTAGGGTCACTCACAAAGATACTTTTATTCTATTGCAGGGGTTTTCTATTGCTGTCATAGCAAATTAGCTCAAATTTTATGGCTTATTAACTTACAGTTCTGTTCATTAGAAATCCAGTCTAATCTCCCTGGGTTAAAATCAAGGTGTCAGTAGAGCTGTGTTCCTCTGGAAACTCTAGAGGAGAATCCGTTTCCTTGCCTTTTCCAGCTTCTAGAGTTTACCCACATTCCTTGGCTTGTGGCCCCTTCCATCCTCAAAGCCAGAAATGTTGCATCTCTGACTCTTCTTCCATAGCCACGTGTCCCTCTGACCACATCTGGGAAAAGGTCTCTGCTTTTAAGGATTGGAGTCATTAGACTGGGCCCACCCCAATAATCCAGGATAACCTCCCTGTCTCAAGATCCTTAACCTTAACCACATCTGCACAGCCCTTTTTAACATGTCAGGAAACACAGTCATAGGTTCTTGGGATTAGGGATTAGGATGTTCACATCTGTGGGGTCATTATTCTGCCTCTCAAGGGGTCGTTCACAAAAGGTGCTTTTTGTAAATACTGGAGAGGTCGACAAATTTTTCTTTAAAAGGCCAGATAGTAAATATTTCAGGCTTTTCAGACAATGTGGTTTCTGTTGCAACTACTCTGCTCTGCCACCGTGGAGCAAAAGCAGTCGTGGACAGAATGCAAATGAGTGGGGGTGGCTGTGTTCCAATAAAACTTTATTTATAGGAGCAGATGTGTAGGTTAGATTTGACCCATGGCCGTCATTTACAGACCCCTCTTCTAGTGGATTCACCAGGCATCCTCTGAGAGAACTTCTGCTCTAGCCTTTGCCCTGGGGCTAAAGGGACGAATAAGATGTGTTCTTGGCCTGTGAGGGACTCTTTCAGTCTGGTGGGGATGAATAGGTGTTAGTAGAGACCCCGAGAGTGACTGACCCTTGAGGGTAGGGACCAAGGAGCTGCAGGTGCATCCTTCAGAGGAAGTGACCAGGGTTTCTGGGAAGGAATTGCCCAGATTTCACTGAAAAATAAAGCTGGGAGGTCCCGGCCTGAGGAACCAGGATTAAAATGACGGCTCAGGTGTCTGAGGTTTGTGGTTTGGGTGTCTACACCCGTACACTGAGTGGTTGCACTCTGGTTAAGAGCATGAGCTGAGTAGCTTTTACAGACCTGGGGGATTCAAAGCTGCGTGACCTTGGACAAGGGTGTCAGCTTCCTCAACTCCAGGAGGGAGACTGGCAAGGTGGTTAGTGGGATCGTGTGTAATGCGTATTTGTTGAATCAAGGGATGCTCTCAAGAGAGTAGCTACTATTGTAATTAGCTCAGAGTTTCCCAGAATGCACTGGGAAAGCCGACCACCGCATCCCCGTGTCTGATTTGCAAGCACTCGCAAAGAATATAGAGCAAATGCTCATTGACAATTATGATGCTATTAATAGCAGTACTAGTTGTACTAAAACAAGAGGAGTGGTAATGGTTGCTACCCTTTAATTAACATTGCTTATTTGCCAAGAACCATGCTGAGATCTTTATAAGGGTTATCTCAGTCTGCTCCACAACTCTGGGGGAGAAGGCGATTATTAGCTACATTTTACAAAAGACCACAGGAGGCTCAGAGAAGACAAGTGACTTGCCTAAGATCACACAGTGGCAAAGGTTGGAGGTGGGACTCAAACCCAAGTTTATTTAACGTCAAAGACTGGGTTCTTCCCCAGCCCCTGGCAGCACAAGGATAACAGACTCTTTCTTGTGCCTTCTTCTAGTGTCCAGACAGCAGTGGATTGTAGCGGCAGTGGCAGAAAAGAGACGTAAGTTAACCCTGAGTAGAACTGAGCCAATTACACCAAAGCCCAAGACGAGCCCCTGGCCCTCTGTGTCCAGTTTGCAGAAGAAACATCCACACCCACCTGGAGAGTTATCCGCAGTGCCCACGAGAGCTCTTACCCCATGGCCATAACATGTAGCCCCGGGGGTACTACTGAACCGTCCAACTTCTCGCAGACAAAGAGAAGCCCATGACTTGCCGTGCCACCGTCCTCAGACACCGTCAGTGGCTCCCCGTTGCCTCAGAAGGGACTTTTTAGACTGACATTTGAGCCCTGCACATTCTGACCCTTACTTCCCCCTCCACCTGGGACTCCTGCTTTCCATATCGTCCGTGCCTTACGTACCTATGTGTGTGCTGTTCCTTCCAGGCCTGTGTAGCCAAGCCCTAACCTTCAAACAAGATGTAGCTCAACTGCCACTACTTGATTCCTTCCTTTATGCCTCCAAGAAGCAAATCAAGGCTCCCTCCTTGTCCTCCTTAGAACCTACCTTGTCTTTATCTACAGCATTGATAATTTTCTTTTATGGTTATTTATATAGATGTCTACTCTGCTAAAATGGGGTGTTGAGGGCAGGGTCAATGTTGGGTTCATGTTTATAGTTCCTTCCCATGGTGCCTGGCATAGAGTGCTCTATAAACAAACAAACAAATTTGTGTAGATATCAATGTATAAATTTATTATATATTATATATAATATATATTTGAGTGAATTTATCAACCAGAAAATAATCATTGAATACCCACAGCAATGAGAGGCCCACACAGGCCTTTCCCTGTGCTGCTTTCAGAAATAGGGGGCCTACAATTAAGTCTCTGTCCCCAAAGACATTCCAGCTTAGGTAGGCGAGGAGTTAAGGCCTTCACACTTGACATATTCCATGACCATATCATTTGGTATGAAATTCAGTGCCAAACTTTACTCCAAAATTAGAGATACCTCAGCATCTATATTAGAGTGCTTATCTTCCCAAGGAAGAGCAGTGGTTATCAGCACGGGCGTTGGAATTGGGTGACCTTAGTCAAGACCCAAGCTGGCATCCCCAAATCCCGTTACTCTCTTCTGTGTAAGAGGTGCAGCACTGGCTCCCATCGCTCAGGGACAGTATTGTGAGCACTGATTAAAGTTATGCATGTCAGCACTTAGCACAATGCCTGGCTCATGCTAAGGGGTGACTATCTAGTTATTGCTGTTACTGTAGTTGTCGTCATGTTGACGATATCTTGCATTCTGGTTCTAGAGATAACGTCTCCATCCTCAGCTCCCAGCCAGAGGGCAGTCTGCAGTCCTGGTTGAGTTGTACTCTGTCCCTGGCCACAGGCAGGGTGAGGACCCCCTCTCGACAGTCAGCCATCAGCAGCTGTACCCTCAGCCCCAGGTAAGAGTATCTCCCCGCTGCCTCTGGATGACCAATAGCTGAAAGAATCTCAGGCTTTGAAGGTTGCTGTTCAAGTCTTCCATTTCCTCTGTCCTAGACAAGGACAAGCATGGTCCAGTTTGAGGTATGACCCTGCCACTTCCTAGCCGTGTGACTTTAGGCAGACCAGTTACCCTCTCTGAGCCTTCACTTCCTCACCTGTAAAACAGGAAATAAAATTGTGTTTACTGCTCCAAACAGGTGAAATGATGAGAATCTAATACAGCCCTCCCTAAAGCACAGTTTTCCAGATGATTTTAAATAGCAGGGGGTGAACATTTTAAAAACTAGCTGTGGGTTTATTATAGTTGTTTTCTATCTAAGGCAAATCCCACTAGTTTTCCACTTATAGATAGTTTTGGACTTAAAGTTTTCTCTATAAACATATTTACTTAAAGTTTTTTGGTTTTGTTTTTCTTTTAATGGGGAGTCCATATAAAAACTGTTAGGCTGGATGATTTCCTCCTCAGAAATTTCAGCTTTGTTTGAATGTCAGAATTTTATATTTTTTTCCTACCATAGAAGGAGACAAATTCAGCCACAGCCTGAGATGGGACCCTCACAAATCTATAGGACTGGCAACAGTGTTGCTCCAACACATGGGCCCCAGGGCTCAGCCTTCGCTGTAGGACTTCAATCCATCTTTCCTCTTGCTTTTCAGCTCCATTCTGCTCAGCTTGTGTGGTTTTCCTTTTCAAGGGCAGCCCTCTTGTAATTAGGAGCTAATGGCCACAAATCAGAAATTATGGATTAAGCAGATGCGTAATTAAGATGAAAGGCACACAAATGCTTGTGTGATAACAGAGGAACCAATGTGGTAAGATAGAAAGAAAAATCACAAAGTAATGGCGCAAACCCAGACAACCCCTTCCTGACTTGAAACGTGTTTGCTCTGAAGCAGGGAGTTGTCTCTACAAAAAGAAAGGGGTGGAAGTTCACTCCAAGCTTTCGGGCATATTCGGGAAATGGAAAATATCTGGCACATGTCTGCTGATAATCTTAGGCTGAAAGGTTTGATGTCGAAAATATCAAAGGGAGGCTCTGAGAATGGGGTGCATTGGGGGAGTTAATTAAAGCAAGCTTATCTGATTACCGCTCTTAATTAAAAACAAAGACCTGTGTGGAGAAAGAGTCATGTCCTCCATGAACTCAAATGATGAGGACTTTCTCTCTCCTGATAACTGAATACCTCTGTTTTCCCCCATCAGCCAATGTATAAGGCAGCAGAAGCAGAACTGGAGGAATGTGAGAGCTCATTAGCATAGTACCCAAGTTTCACAACTATAATTATATTAGGCTGCATGGTAAGGAATTATGCCCTGAGTTGCTTGGCACCCGTGTGAGTGGGAGGTGGGAGGCCGCAGTGGTTTCAGTACACGGACTGAAGTCACAGCATCTGGCCTCCAATCCCACATTCGCTCCTCTGAAGCTGTGAGATTTGGGGCAAATTTTTGTTGTTTTTTTTTAATAATTTTTATTGGAGTATAGTTGATTTACAATGTTGTGTTTCAGGTGTACAGCAAAGTGAATCCGTTATACATATACATCTATCCACTCTTTTTTGGGTTCTTTTCCCACATAGGTCATTACAGAGTATTGAGTAGAGTTCCCTGTGCTACACAGTAGGTCCTTATTAGTCATCTATTTTATATATAGTAGTGTGTATATGTCAGTCCCAATCTCCCAATTTATCCCCCCCCCCCCACACCATTCCCCCCTGGTAACCATAAGTTTGGGGCGAGTTGCTTAACTTCTCTGTTCGTGTTTTCTTGTGAGTAGATCATTGTCAGGGTTAATGAGAGGATGCACTCAGAGCCCTAGAAAGAGCTCAAGAAAATTAGCTGCTTTATTAGTGTTGGTACATATTTGATGCCCAGAGTAGCCCCAGGAGACTGATGTCATTACCCCCATGTCGCACAAGAGGGATCTGAGGCCCAGAGGTTAGGGAACAACTGATTGAGGCAAAGACGGCCACACCCCAGTTCCTGTAGCTGCGCCTCGGGCAGCGCCTCCAGGCAGCCCTCTCTAGAGCCTAGTACCCCTTTTCCTGCCTGCTCCCCCTCCAAGTCCTCAGGCTTGTCCAGCTGCAGTTCAGAGCAGAGGGGCCTGCACCAAGGGCAGCAGTGGGGCAGGAGGCAAGAAGAGACCATAAGCTCCTTGTCAGTTTTCTTCATGTTGGTGTCCCTTGGGCTGGCACACAGATGGTGCTCTATAAATGTTTGTTGAATGAATAGCTGACCATAACATCAACACTTGAGCAGAAATACTAACTGTAATTGGTCACAGCTCATCATTGACTGTGACTCAGGGTCAGAAATTTGCTCCATGTCATTCAGCAAGTAAGTGAAAGAGGCAGGATTTGAACCCAGGTTTGAATGCCTCCGAAGCCTGTATTTGTGTTTGCCACACTGCCATGACTCTGACTTTTATCCAGGAGGTGGATCGCTCACCTGGCAGAGTTTACTGGCAAAGAGCTGGCCTGTTACTAATATTAAAACTGTATAAGGATCCTTATTCAACATTCAACATCCATTCAAAAGATGTTTATTAAGTGCCTACTGAGTGCCAGATTCCATGGCATTAAGCCCTGAAAATTTTAAGCTTTGTCCTTGGAATACGTTTACAATTTAAAGGTTCTAGAACTTCTGAGTTCGAAGGGACCACCAGATTATTTAGTCCAATTCTCTCATTATATAAATGGGAAAAACTGTGGTCTGCAGAAGGAAATATCTTACCTAAGCTTATAGTAAGGACTAACCCAGAGTTCAGGTTCCTTGACCTCCAGCTTTATAATCTGTAAATCCTTCTACCTTTTAAGAACTTAGAATATATCTGAGAAGGCGACAGTCCTCCTGGCTACCACCCTAACCTCAGTTCCCTTCCCAAAGGTATCCATCGTCTTCAGTTTGGCGTGTATCCTTCCACATCTTTCTCTGTGTATTTATAAACATACATGTACTTGTAGGAAATACATAGCATTTTTGTGGGCTTTTAAAACACATAAATGGTATGATGTTATTTTATGTATATTATGCTCTAAATTCTTACGAAGTGCTTCTTTCCCTCAACAATATACCATGGAGATCTCTCCCTATCAGTCCACATAAGTCTATCTCATTCTTTTACATTCCTGCAGAAGAACTTTAAATGATGCCATGGGTTTACTAAACTGCAGTCTTCTTGTTTCACTTTTAGTTGAGTTCAGGATATTTGCTATTAACCTGTAAGCCTTTTAAAAAAAAAAAAGCACACGTCCTTATGCACACGGGCAAATGATTCTCTGGGTCAAAGGGAATTTGCATTTTAAACTTGACTAGATGCTACCAGATCATCCGGGCATTGTTTGTGCGAGGAGGCAGGATAGCATACAAGGCTCCTGTGTGCTCCCGCACCCCCCGTATTCCCTGGCCCATCACAGGGCTCAAGATATGAGTCCCTTGGGCATTCCCAAACTTGACTGAGAAAGAAGGTCACTCTAAAAAGAGGAGAGAGAAAGCAGTCTTCTGCCAAAAAAATAAAAGCATTTCTTGTATTATTTATAAGGGGATGTCAGCTCAAGAGAAATACACCTAAAGCTTTATGATTTCCAGCCCAGGAATCATGCAGCTGCCACTGATAAATGCAAGAGCTACTGGTGACGGAGATGCTAAATTACCTCCGTGGCCCCCGGGGAGGGAGTTTATGGGCTTGATGGTGGCAGCCACGCTTGGCTCAGGATTCTCTCTTGACGGCCGGCTGCAGGTGGTACCAGGGCATCCAGGGCTGGTATGCTCTCCCCGGCCCTGCAGGGTGCCTGGCCTCTCCCTCCTGCCCTCCAGGCCATTGCCCTGCCGGAAGAGTGCTCCAGGAAAGGCTTCTCTCCTCTCCCCTCTGGGCCTCACAGCACCTCAGGCTTTCCAAGGCAGGTCCAAGCCCCATTTCTGTCTAGACCCCCATCCCCACGTCCCACAGAACCCCAGCCTTGGTCACTCACACAGTTCTGCAGGGTCCACGCACTGATGGGCATTAATTGAACCAGCTGTTCAGATGCTGATGTCTTATCAGTGGTCCGTTGTTTCTTTCATTTTACTGGACAGTTATTCCAAACCATCCTGACTTTCCTCCAGCCCTGATTCCTCACTCTATGGAGACACCCTAAACTCCTGGTTCATTCAAAGAAAAGAAAATCATGGCCTGAACTTCTGTGGTGTCTATAAATCCATCTCTCTCTGCCCTCATCTTCCCTCTGGTCTCAGAAGATAAGATCCAGTCCTGTTCAAGTCGCATCCGTATCCCGCTGTCCCTTCTCCCCTGCAGCGTGCCCAGCATCCCCTCTGTCTCCTGCATCCTCAACTTCTGCCTTTGTGGTTGTCCTTTCTCCACAGGTTATAAGCACCTTTGGGTCCTCCCCGTTCTAACTGTGTCCTCACCCATCACCTTTCCCTTCCCTTTGGAGCCAAGCTTCTTCAAAGCAAGGCCCACATGCACCGTCTTCACTCACCTCACGTTTCTGCCTCACTTTCCTCCAGCCCTGAGCCTGCCCCCGCCACTGCACTGAAACTTTTCTCACCGTGTCAGCGGCTCCCAAAGGGACACACCAGGGGACGTTCTCCAGTCTTGATCTTTTTCTGGACTTCTCTCCTGCACTGGCCTCTGTCAGATACTTCTCAGAACTCCCTGCCTGCCCGGCCTTGTAGCTGTTTCTGCTCCTTGGAGCTCCCCAAACTTCTCCCCAGCCCCGCCAGTGCTGGGGATCACGGGATGCTGCTCTCACCGGCTGTTTTTCTCTCCACCTGGTCCCAGGCAATCCTGTTGTGATTTTAACTCCCTCGCCGTAAGCGGATGACCCCCAGATCTAGCCCTCCAGCTCTTAGTTCTCCCAGGTTTCAAACGCGTATATCATATCTAACCGCCTACCTTTAGAAGCTCGCCACCTGGATGTCTCCCTGGTGTCTGAACCCAGCGTATCCAAGGGGAGACTC